AAAAAAAAAAAAAAAAAAAAACGCGGCTCTCGTCCTCCGTAAGTAAATGACACACCTGATCATAACTTATAAGTCTTACATAGTGTGAGTTTCTCATAGAAGTCTGATGCAAGAAAGACTCAAGTTGAGATACAGCCAGATATCATCCAACATTGAATTCCTTCGCACCGCCAATCAAAGAATGAGAGAACCCCTGAGAGCCCCAAATGTTTGATACAACATCCAAAGTTGACTGCACCACAGACTTTTTTCGAACTCAAGGATTTTTCCCGCGATTATGTAGATGTGTGGTGGGAGGGTCGATCAGTTGAAAAAGGGAATATGGGTATGGGGAAAAGGAGCAGCAAGTGTTAGCAAGACTTGATTTTATAGACAGCTGTCGCAAAATGGTAGACTGTGCAGGTATTCTGTTTTGTTACAGAAATGTCACTAACTGTGCTCCAAGGTGGTTGGTGGGTTGGTGGAATATGCGGTCAAACAATTGGGTTTTGTTATGAGGCCTAGTCAAATTCCAAAGATGAGAGCCCTTGTTTATTACAAAGTGAAAGACACTTCTATCGTAGAGAAAGCTAGGCTACTTTGATGACCATGAGTAATATCAAGACGTACCCTCAACCCATTTTCGCGTGATTTTTAACTCGCAGCGTTGCTTCTCCACTCTTGGTCACCGTGAGCCACCATGTTTTGTCTCTTCCCAGTGGTTATCTCTCCCTGCCAGGGGGGTTTCAGTTAACACGCAGACGCGTAGCGCAATTTGGTGGTATGCAACGGAATCGGAATATTTCTTAAACTTGCGTATCATCGCCGTCACCACCTTATGAAGCAACGGAGCTTCAGACACGCATGAAATACTTTGGTAAGAAGGCTGGTAAAGGATTACACTTAGCTTATTTGACCAAATCATTCAGGATCCTCTCCGGCCACACGGCTTTCTTGTTTAGAGTGTTGACGCGGTGACTCTAGATAAATCTTGCAACAGGATATTTGGGATTTCCCTCGTGTTGCAAGGCGTTGTGACACGCGAGGTTTCGTGAAAGAAACAGCGCTTGTTCCGCTTTGTCAGTGGCTAGTGTCTTGTCTACATGTTCGATAGGGGGGTGTTATCTCCCCGTAGCTCCATGTCTTAGTGTTATCGATATCCGAAGTGGTATTGAAGTGTGCTTTTGCTGAGAAGACCTTGCAGTGTTGGCCATCTCGATTATATGACTTTCTTTATACAATAGACCAATAACATCCCACATTTACTGGAAGATATTTCTTCATTTTCCGTCCTCGAGCCGTTTTCAAAGTCCCATAACTATGTAGAAGATAGTTATGATATGTTTTATAGTTTTGCTACCAGGCTGTAGCAGCATTACTGGCGCTTAGGCCTGTTTGTGATAGCTGCACGTGATTGGAAGTTTCGATCAAAAGGTTGAAAGGCCGTTGCCAAATCGTCGTGCCAGAATGTCGCCATAGGGGCCCAGGTGAGTTCAAACGCGGGGTAAATCAAACTCTCTCGTGTATTGCTTGGTGCTTTCTGATAGCTACTTTTGGGTGATTCAGAACAGCCTAAAAACACGTGGAAGAGGGCGCCGCTTCATGCCGGACCAGCATTGTCGGAATGATACATACTCAGTTTCATAAAACCTCGTCTTGCAGACGACACCATTGAAGACAGGAGAGCGTTTTCCTCCTGACTTCAACGCGAAGTTGATCGAGCTTGACCAGTTCCATGCCCTTAAAGTTAAGCACTCCAACATCTGTCTCAATCGCTTTCCAGCTTTCTTTATCTTTTCTTTTCTACTTTATACCCTTAGACTTCAAGCAGTAGTTATAGATAAGATAATGTTGTTTCACGCTGAATATGTGGCGGATTGGAATTGTGTTAGATTCCGCTTCACTAGTGTCTTTGGAGGCTTGTTCTGCTTCTGCATCAAAGACCACAAGAAATTCCAACACGCTGAGACTGGCGCGAGAAATGGGGCTGAGTAGAGTCAGTCCTTAGCACGAGCCGCAGAAGGCACTAGGTAGTTCTGGTATATCTTGTTGTTGCTGTGACCAAAGTCGCAAAATGACCTCATTGAAATATCGGATCATCGCGATGTTGGGTACCCAGCATGCAGCCTGCCGAGATGTACAAAAATTAGGTTCAGTTGAACCCTTCATATCCTCGGACACGTATCGATCAAGGTTTAGGAGGCGAATTTAAGAAGAAATCGATAAAAAAACACATCGTCATACCGGGCTAGACCGGGGCATTCTTCATTTACCGATCGCCATAAGTTGTACTAAAACTTGGAGAGCACCAAAAGCAACGCTGCGCGAGATATATACACGTTGCGCATTCGGGATATTCTGATATCGGAACAAGTTCTATATCCTCATCGAAACTGAAGAGCGACATGATGACTCAATCTTTGCATGAAATAGGTCTTCTGCACTTTCCCCTCTTCACATCGTCATTTCAAGACCCATTTAGTCATTTACACCAATAAAACCGACGATTCTGATCATGGTAGGCGAAATGCGGCGAGATGAGCCCCCCTTTTATCACTCGAGTAGCTTTGAAGTTAACCATCCCCCTCAGCTAACCGGGCGCCAGCTCAGTACGTCCAAAGACAAATACTCATGTCTTATTGCAATCCCTTTGTCACAAATCAATACTAAGAAGGAGTTTTCCGGAGGGCTACCTCTATAATTTTGTCTTGCTCTTTACTTTCCATCGTTCCACATGGCAATGTGAATTGGGGTTTAACAGTGTTACAAAACGATGACATGCTTCCGGTGCCGCTAGAGAAACGTACCTGGAAATGGTGGAGTAAGATTTTCCGCTTTCGCAGCGTCATATATGTTGGGTTTTGGTACCGAAAATGTTCATCATAGCCGATCTCCTTATCTGCTATCCCTTCCAGACTTTGTGACCTTTTGGCGTGAGTCTCTTTCAAACTTCCTCCCCGTTCATCCATAATGACATTCTTCCCCAAATGATAGTCGCAGATGCCTGGAATGTCAACACGTGGACGATAGCCAGCACTATGATAGCCGCTGGCTTAAGTTGGTGGCAAGCTTGGACAGCTGTCTGGATAGGATGTAAGTGCCAATAAATAAAACTCATGGGAAATATGTCAATAGCATCCGAGCTTTAGCTTAGAAGTTTAGGGGAGATGCGCGATTGTTAATGTGAAAATTTCATCTGACCATCTGCACTCAGATTCAATCGCGGCTTGCTTTATGGTTCTTAATGGACATGCAGGTTCTAAATACCATTGTTCCTTTCCAGTCCTGACACGGTTCGTGCAAGTTCCTGATTTCCAGTCTTGGAAAACTATGGACGCTATCTCTGTCCTGACCGTGATGCTTGTTGTAGCGCAACTTTCGGGATATGGGGTTCTCTTTGGCCCATTCTCAACCGAGCATTGATGGTATGTTGTACCAGTCCATGATGTCATTTTGCATTAAATGAAAAACCATGACTGTTCGTCTAAGTGTTGACGATCTCGGTCCGACGATCGTGAAAGGCTTGTGTGTGGTATAGTGAGTAATTTCCAATCAATAATATCTAGACATTCTCTACAAAAAAGCCAAACAGTTGATTGTTATACATCATACCTCCTGGAGTGGACAGGTGTACAAGGATGGATCGGAGGCCAATGTGTCTACTTGCTCATTCAATCCATATGGCCGTCCTTCAGCTCACTACCAAATATGATCCCATCTAGTGGGACGGATAGCGCCCATTTCTTGTCTTTTGCAATATTTTCCCTTGTCTCGTTAATTCCAATATATTTCCCAATTCATCAAATCCGACACTTTTTCACAATCAAGGCGAGATCCCTAAGCTCTCTCTTTCCCTTTTCTGTTATGTAGGTGACTTTACTGACTCTATGCTTCACCGTGTCCTAAATCTTCTTTGCTTCTAACCAATCCTGTCGAATCGCAGGCAGTGGTTGCGCCAACCGCTGGGACTGCATTTTTTATTTGGTTTGTTGTGAAGGCTGGTGGGGTGGGCACGATTCTACAACAACCCGCGCGTGCTGAGGGGAAGCAGCTCCAATGGGCATTCATCAATGCAGCCATGGGCTGTATATCCAAGTGCGAAATCAGAATCTTATATCTTGATATACTTCCGTTTCTACAATCAAGATATATAGTACGCTTATTATGACTTCGAATTTCCAAACAGCATGGTCACCCTCATCACTAACAATCAGGACTTCTCAGCTCGAGCCGATAAAACCTCTAGCATGATTCTTCCTCAACTCATAGCCCTCCCGATGACATTTGGGATGGTATCCTTCTTTGGAATCATAGTTTCCTCATCCTCAAACGTCCTTTACGGCCATCAGATATGGGACCCGCTTGAACTTTTGGAACGCGTTCTCACAGGCTCACCAACTATCCCATCGGTAAGATTTTGATTCTTCCCCGTCCAGGTCCTGGATGTCTTCAATATTTCGCCTCTTCGTCTTTTCTGACCCTTGGTTTTCATTTCATCAAAGCGAGTAGCCGTAGGAGTAATCTCACTTTCCTTTACCTTTTCGCAAATGGGGACCAATGTGGCAGCCAACTCAGTATCCGCAGGTTGCGACATGGTAAATCTGATGAAAACTTTACAAAAAATGTGGTATCTGATTATAGTATGACTTGCTATTGGGAACAATGTAGGCTGCCCTATTTCCCAGGTTCATCAATATCAGACGAGGATCGTATATAGCCGCAGTCTTGGGTTTTTGCATGATGCCTTGGGAGCTACTAGATGGACCAACAAATTTTTCCACGTTAGTGGCATATCCCCACAACCACAATATTTCTCTCAAGTCAAAAACTGACTGTTCCTGCTCATTGCAAGACAGATATCTATCTGCTTACTCAGTCTTCCTGTCTAGTATGATTGGATGCTTATTGGCAGAATATTATGTGGTATCTAAACGCCTGATAACAGTAAAGGATCTTTATGTCGCAGACAGTTCTGGAATGTTAGTGAAATTTCATGATCTATAAATGTTATGCGTGTGCATAAGCGCCTTGAAGCATAAAGCTGATGATCTTTTTAACAAGTTATTATTATTTTCATGGAGTCAATTGGCGTGCTTATCTGGCCTACTTCTCTGGATTGGCGCTCAACATGCCTGGCTTTGTAGGAATGATCCAAGGTCAAATGGGTATATCAGTAAGAATTTATCAGGTCAGGACTCTGGGCGCCATCATTATTCATGATCCAAATGTGAGTCATGTGCTGACTGTTTTACCTCGCGGAAAGTAGCTTTCCTTCTTCACAGGACTCGGAAGCTCGTTCATTGTCTATATCATTCTAAACAGACTCTTTCCCACAAGGAAATCCACAATAGAGGAAGCGCAGAGTCCCATCACGAGGAAGATTATTGATGAAAAGGCCTAAACTTATCCAAGTCCCTCAGCGTGGGACTTGGATAAGTTTAGAAAAGGCCACGTCCGGAGGTCTTAATTGAGTTCATACTCCAATGCCATGCCCAAAACACGTGCGACTCGAAATCATAGATTAGTATTTATCCCGTAACCTGACTCCACCATAGACGCTACGTCGCGCACTTAAACACTTAAAATTTGCATGTACTGTGCTATCCAAATCCCCTGTTTTCATTCCGAGTTTTGGTGCAGAGAAGAAACATCGATACCAAATTTGTAAAGTTGTACCCACGTTGTTTACCCTACATGTCGCTGTGAAGGTAGCGGCTGTTCTACCTATCTAGTTGCTGGTTCATAGGAAATATCTCTAAATCATCAACTCAAATTTGTGAGTTTCGAAATTTTTCAAGTTGTAAATTTCATCTGCAATGCTTGTAGTTTTTCAATACCATCCTACACTGATATCTATAGTCATACAAATTCAAAGTCAAACCAACATGACTTATTATTTGTGTTTATGGTGTAAGAGAAGTAATTCTGCCGCGACGCAATCACGACCGGACAGAGGTTCAAACAAGGAATAAGTACATAGCTTTTGAAATGGTAAAGGAGATGCTTTGTGGCAAACCTCGGTCGGAAAGGGTTATAGCAAATCAGAATATGTTTATCATAGCCACCGCAGATTCCCCTCAGCAATAACTGTGCCAAGACTTGACTTATGACACATATCTTTACCTGAATTCCCACAGACCATACAGTAGCTTTTACAAAAATGTCAGCAAGGTCAAAGAGTAAACTTATCAAGGAGATCTTGGCAACATATTTGCTCCGTCAAACTTCTTGTACTGCCCATAATCTTGTCTTTTTAGGAAATTTAAGTTGACCCAGAAAATGATAACCAAGTCTTCTTCTCATATGAGCACTTTTTATTGTATTGATCTTCAGCTTTGAGGAGTTTCCCATTGTAGGCGGTTCAAGTTGACCAAAAAGTGCGTGGAAAGTTACATATAACTTTGGCCTCCGAGTCCCAGCCCTTGAATATTTATTGGTTTTGAAAGAAGTAATCAATGCCAGGGCTTTATAACTTAAAACCTTCTGCTATCTTGCCGGGTTTACAAGGTTGATATGAAGGAAAAACTTCGAAGATTTTGAGACCTGAAACATGGAGATACAACAGGCTTTGTTGTTGTAATGTTGGTGAAATTTCTTGCAGCAGGAGGGACTTATGAGCAACACATCTGTAACCTATGATCACTGTTTCATTTAGTTTTATGAAATGAGAGCATTTGATTCCTCTGAATGACCAGTATCTCTTGCCTATATTTCTAACCAAGACATCTCAAATTGTCAAAAGCTTCAAAGTTAAAACTATATAAATTCCTATACTACAATCTCACAAGACAAATTCATTCATATAATCTCATCTTATGTCATCCAATCTAATCTTAATAAACCTAAAAGAGAAAACAAGCCTCCAAGACTATTTCAAAAACAAACTAAACAATCCTTGTTGTACTTTCTATATTTTACAACACTAGTCAACATCATCCCATACACCTATATAATTTGACTTCAAATTTCATCAGTTAACCTCCCATATCTTTTGTTTGTGTTTAGACTTCACAGTGTTTTGATTTGCAAGGTATTGCAGCGGAACTGATAATTTTCTTGAGTCTTGAATATTGTTCTGAAAATTTGGTACAGGGAGGCCTGCTGTCCCACCCATTGTAAATATTAAACAACTTCCCTTGAATTGAGCAAGGGAAAATGATTGTAAGTATAATTGGTCATAAAGTATTGATCACTGCACACCTGAGCCACAAAGCCCACATTACATGTGTGCAACAAGCTGAGTGAATTGTTAGCTATCACACCGTGGGAATGATTGAGTTCAAACCCCGATTGAGCAAAGTTGTGGTGTCCGAGTCCGCAACTTTGCTCAATCATGGATCTCGTTCACATCACGTTCACAATTTGTTCACAGGTTTCCCTCCAGTTACCCTCCGCAATCTGAAGTAACAATCATACAACAGAAAGTCCCTTGCAAGTCATCAGTCTTTGACATTTGTTGTTAATCTAATTCATCTTTCCAATTTTCATCTCAGTGCTTTCACCATGCCCCATGAAGTATTGTCCCATCACCATCATGTGGGTCGCTAACCAACAATGTTAAACAACACTGTGTGTTTATGGCAAATTGTTTTAGAGATATGGACAGTGAATTGTGCTTATGTCAATCTTTTTCAATGTTCCAAATGCTCAACCAACAAAGAAAGGAGCTCATCGAGGACAAATTGAAATTTGATCTTGAATACATACAAAGGCAGAGTATCAGTAGAGCTCGGGGGACACCTGTGAACGAATTGTGTACGTGATGCGAACAAGCTCCGTGCTGGACCAAACTGGAGGAACCGGACACCGCAACTTTGCTCAATTGGGTTTTGAACTTAATCATTCCCGCGGTGTCATGTACATACTGGTCTGCTCAGTTCCCTGCTCATCTGAATAAGCGAATGACATGTAATACACCATGTAACTTTTTCAGTTTGACAAAATCCTCCCAAAGATTGACTACATATACCTCCATAACTATTCAGGCTATACTCTGGACACCATACAACAGTAACAGAAAGGGCGTTGTGTGAGGTTTACTTAATCAATTACACAAAAGCTATGAGTCAGTGTATGTAGTCAATCCTTGAAATGCTTCTGTCAAACTGAAAAAAATTACCAAAGGTATCACATATGATTTGCTCATTTAGATGAGCCAATAGCTGAGTAGCTCTGTATGTACATGATAGCTCCCAACTTACCCATCCTGCTGCACATATGTAGTTTGGGTGCTATGACTTGGGTGTGCGTTGATCAATCCTTTATGACCAATTATACTTTCAATAGTTTCCCCCCCTCAATTGAAGGGAAGTTGTTTAATGTTTGCAGTGACCATCACTCTCAAGTATGCACGTACGGTGAGCTTGACAGGAATCTTCTGTGTGTTTATTCCAAAATGGTTCATCTCATGCTGGGATGATACTCAAACTTATACAATGGGCGCTCATCTTTCAGTGTATTGGTGAGAGAATCTGACAAGGTTATTGCAGTACATTGGTCTTCAGAATGCAGATAATTGAATGCATGGGACTTACTGGCCACAAGTAGTCCTTCCAAACCCAAGAGAACACATTCTCCCCACTCTATGATGGTATGAAGCCTCTGCATATCAAGCTTTGCATCAACAAGTTCCTGCTTCAGGCTATCTCTTATAGAGTTGTTATTGGTAGCTGCAAGAGATGTGATTATCATGGGCAGACGGGACACCAACATGATCTCCAAAGTCTCTTTTCTTAGGGGTGACAGGGAAGAGTCCCAATCCATGTGATGTGAAATGTTCTCAGGTTTTCCGTAGGACTCACCCTGTGTTGCAGTTGCCAAATAACTTACTGCTGCAAGTTCTCCATCTTCACTGTCTCTTTTCAAAATGGCAGCCGCAGCCGCGGCCAGAGCAGGAAATGTCAATTTGATGTTACTTGAAGATGGGGACCATGCATGTGCTGTCTGTTCATGAGAGGATTTAGGTTGGGGTCTTGGACTTGTAGACAATAGCTGTGGGGCCTTAACTATGCAAGGTGTTTCTTAGTCTGCTTCTATATTGGTGCAGACTTTCTGGATATTGGAAGACTGGTGACATGTAAAATCATACTTGGCGTCTTTTGAACTGATGCAGTAAAACCTCACCTTAGCAGAACTGTGAAGATGTTTCCTTTGCTTGATCTTGGGTTGCTTCATTCCTGCAGGTCTATGAGCACTGTGGAGCTTGTACTATAGGCCTGTTCATTGAGAAGAGTCACATCTGAGTTTGGTTTGTTCATGTAAAGAGAGCATAACAAGCATGAAAAAGTGGGAGTTTGCCTTACCACAGGCATTAACAGCAACTCAGCCCTCTCCATCCCTTCTCCAAAGAGGTGTTGTTTTGGTCCCGCAGTTCTTGCAGCACATTGCACCCAGGACAGGTTCTTCTCCACCATCAAGATTTTCTTCTATTGTTTGTGATGCAATTGTCTTC